ATGAAATGGTATTAGTACCTTTTTAGGATTTGTGTGTGTGTGTGTGTGTGTGTGTGTGTGGTGTGTTTCCCCTGCTTTACTGTTTGTTTTGCATAGAGTTAAGAGCCATAATTTTTCTGGCATTTTAAGGTGAAACGTGAGTTCACAGTTCTCGGGTAAATTACTGTAAGGTTAACAAGATCTCCTAGAAAGTGGAATTTTTTTCTGATCAAAAGACTTGCATTTAATAATTTAATTACAACGGCATTCTGTTAGCCAAGTTTGCAGAGTAAATTCAGGGTTTTAAGAGGTCTCAGTTATGAATGTGGTCGAAAAAGTTTATTCCAGCTGTGATGTGTCCCGTGAGAAGAACCGTGCGTGGTGGGTGAGTTGTGAAGGGTGAGCCAGGTGTTTGGGAATCCAGCTGTGAGAGAAGTGGGTGGTGGCAAAGGCTGCAGGTGCTGCTGAGGGATCCTCGAGATGCCGTGGGGAGGGAACAGCTGCAGTGGTTTGGCATGTTGAGCCTTCTCCTTGTGCCCTGGGGGTGAAGGGCGTGCCCAGGGCACCAGTGGTGGTGGGAGTAGCATGGCATCAGCCAGTATTAATGGGTCATTTTCAAGGTCTCATGTTAGGCTTCAAATGTTCAGAAAGATTGGTTTGCTTACCATTGTCATTGTCACACCACTGTTTCTTGCTTCTGCCCCAGTGGCTGCTTGGTCTCCCTTGCTGGTTCCTCTCGTCTTCTGTCTTCTAGATCTTGGGGAGTAGCACGTCTCTGTCCTTGGTTTTTGTTTCTTGTCTCTGTGCTCTCTCCGTGGGTGATCATTTAGTTCTGTGGTTTTAAATGTAGCGTCTTCCATATTCTGACAACTCTCAAGTTTCTCACTCCACGGTGAACCTTTCCTACACATCTAACTGCTTACTTGAAGTCATTACTTGGCATTTCTACCTTAACATGTCTAAAGCTTAACCCTCGATCGTACTCCCTAAAATCCGTTCCTCCCTCAGTGCAGGCTTCCCTCTCTTGTACCTGACCTCTCAGTTCTTGCTCAGCACGTGACCTGTGGAATCTTCTTTGATGCCTCTCTCTTTCTCTCCTTCCGCCTCTGCCCTCCAGTTCATCAGCTGGTCCTGATGTCACCCTTCTCCCCACCCCCACCAGGACCACTGAGGCTGAGCCACCGCAGTCTCTCACCCATGCTGTTGCAGTACCTTCTAACTGGTCTCCCTCCAGCTTTTGCCCTGGCTGCCCTCCCTTCTCTTGTCCACCCCGGTACCAGAGCAGCCCTTTCACTTTAGGTTCGAGCATGTCACTCCCCTGTTCTTGTTTTATTTGTAGGAACATCCGACGTCCTTCACCCTTCATCCATGAGGCCATACTGATGAAAACAAATGATAAAGACATTAGGAGAGAATAGACAAATCTCCCTTACAGAAGAACTCTAAACAATTTATGTAACATAACTCTCCACCCCTAAGTGTGGACTGCACGTAGCGACTTCCTTCCAAAGGGCACAGTAGGGGAAGGGGGCAGCAAGTACCCCGCTGCGGAGAAACCCGACAAGCGCTGCTTCAACCCAGTGAACAGGGTCAGCATCAGCATCGATGTGATGTGATGAAAATGGCACTTTACCCCGTTCTCTTCCTCCCCTCAACGCATAGCCCCAGTCTAATCATGCGGAAAAACATCAGACAAATTCCAGTGGAGGGACGTTCTGCAAAATACATGACCAGTACTTCTCAAAACTGTCAGGGTTATTGAAAACAAGACAAATCAGAGAAACTGTTACAGTCCAGAGGAGCCTAAGAGAACACGATGACTGAATGTAATGCGGTTGTCTTGGCTGGTATCCTGGGACGGGAAAAGGGCATTGGGACTTAGTGAATTACAGTGTATCTATATTATTTCATTAGTTGTGACAAATGTACCATAGTAAGGTGAGATGTTAACAGTAGGGGAAACTGTCTTTGTAATTTTTCTGAAACTCTAGAATAATTTTAAAATGAAAAGCTTATCTAAAAAAGGATCTCCTTTATTGCTCTCCGCTCACCCACTGTGCCAGGCCACCACGGCCTTTCTCCTTGTGGCGCCTCTAACTAGTACTTCTCTACTGGAGATGACTGAGCTTCAGGGGCCATTTGTACTGTCTGGAGACATTTTTAGTTGGGGTTGGGGGGAAGAGAGGCTGCAGGCCTTTAGTTGGGTGGAGACCAGGAATAATACTAAATGATGCCTAGGACAGCTCTCCAGGCTACGCACCCCGTCCCCCGGCCAAGAATCATCTGACCCAAGTGCCAATAGTTTTGACGTTGAGAAACTCTTTTCCTTTTTCGGGGCCTCTCTGTCCCTCCGTGTTTCTGGCTGCAGTCTCCATTTCTTTCTGCTTTATTTTTCTCCTTAGCCCTCATCATCAGCATCTGATGGACTCTTTGTTTCCTTGTCTCTCACCAGGAAATGTATCTTCCATGAGGATTTGTTAGTAGTTTGGTTCACTTTTGTATTCCCAGCATGTAGAACTGTTCCTGACATGTGGTAGGCTCTCATTAAATGGGTGATGAATGAATCAAATGACCAAAGAAGTGAATTAATGATAAAGATAACATATATATATATATATACTAAAAATTCAAATAGTAGAGAAAAATGAAAATGTGAACATTCCCCCAGCTGCCTGTCCTTCAGAAGTTACCACCATTAACAGTTTACTTCTTATCTGTCCAGAATTTTTTGGTTCATTTTTAAGCACATCCATGAACTATGCATATAATTTATCTCCCCTCCCTTTTTGCAGACATAAATGGGATCAGTTTAGTTTTTCCACTTAATGTATCTGGACATCTTTACATGTCAGTGTATAGAGTGCTGTCTTATTTTTTAAATTACTGCATAATATTTTATATGTAGAATTAAGCAAAAATATTTTAATTGCTTGCAGTAGAATCCTGGTTTAATACTTTGTTGTAAACTGGATACTAGTAACATTATGTTTCCTAAAACAGAAAGTGCTTGTGCAACATCATCTTTTCAATGCTTCTTTAAGACATTTTCTTTACATTTTATCCCTGGTTTGTAAATGCTTCAGTACCAGGATCTTTGCCTTTTAAAATAGTCTTTAACTCCATGTACCTAGCACAGTGTGTCTGCTAGCAGGTTCTTAATACCTGTAGGTTGAATTCAATCATGAATCAGAGTTTTCACTTGTTTTGATAAAATTATCGGTTTGTTACATAATCCTCAAATTTCCCTGAGTATTAAAACTGTTGACCAAATTAAGAGGTAGTTTTGGGAAAAGATTGTCTTCTTATTTTGTTTAAATCTTAAATGTTGTTCTAGAGGCCAAAAATTCTGTCTCATTTCCTGACTTTATCTGCTGAGAAGTCATGGTTGCTAAAGCACAAGTTAGGGTGCCCGACTTGGACAGGATTCAGTACCAATTAAGCTTCTCATTGCCTTCAGCGTATCAGGTTTTTTCTTTTTTTCCTTAATGAAATGATTAATGGGGCAAAGTTGGCAGTTGGCTGAGTTAAGGTACTGTAAATTAAAGTTGCCATGCTAATTTCCCTTGGCTGTTTGGCCAGCCCTTCAGTCTGCTGTTTCTCTTACCTTGGGGAGCAGTCCCATTTCCCGAAAATTCATCTGAGAGGTCCTTTGCCAGGGCTGCAGCGCTGTCCTCTTCTGACCATGCTCGGACGTTTGTGAAGCTCCGTTCGTTTATGAGGTGAATTACGTTGGCATTTAGGGGAACAGCTGCTCTGAAAGCGATTGTCCTCCCCCGCCAGGCCTCAGCCCAGTGAACTGCCTGCCTTCCCACTGGTTCAGGGTACCCCTTTCTCACATGTCCTCTTTCCGCCCACCTCACCCTTGGACCTCCCTGCAGTGCCTTCCACCTTGCTGCGTTGATTGGGCCCCTCTACGCATGTTTGCTTAGATGATTTAGCTTTGTGCGTGTGTCTTGTGTTTGGGTGATGGGTTGTTCAGTGCCCCGAAGACAGCGGACCCTCTGTGCACTGGCTGTTGGCAGCAGTGGTGATACAGCAGTGATGTTGCCAAGATTTGTGTCCCTGGTTTAGGGAGGGCAAGTTCTGTTTGACATCAAGCTCTTGCCTTTCCTTTTGTAAACTGACTGTTTGGGGCTCAGTTTGTTGGTTCAGAAATGACTTCAGTATTAAACTTGGTGATATATTTATTTTAATACCTTTAAATAGTTAATACAGTGCTAAATGAGATAGTAAACCCTATATTATGTAGGGAGTCAACTTAATCATTCTTATAAAGAAATAATATAATTTCAGGATAAATTTCTAGGAGAGATTACAAGCTATCATTATGAGAGGTTATATAAAACCACTGTTGAGAGTTTTTTTGGTTGTTAGCTGTCCGAAGTGTCCCATGCTCAGGATACTGTAGTAGCATCAAGTCTGTGAGCTTTTGAGCGCTTCATTTATTATATACAAGTAAATGGAAACAATGTTCACTCCCTTTTTTAGCAGTGGCTTATACTTGCCTTGAAGATTGAAGTGCAGGAATACAATGTGGTTGTTGCAGCTGGAAGACCTTCATCTGATGCTCTTTAGGATTCTTTGAGTCATTAAAATAAAAAAAATTGTTCTTAAACTTAGTAATTCTAGAAATATTAGCAATATTGATACTTATATTGGAAAACTATTGCATTTATTCATATTCTGTATAGATGGAAAATACTTTATTAAAATGTGAGGTCTGGGCTTCCCTGGTGGCACAGTGGTTGAGAGTCCGCGTGCCAATGCAGGGGACACAGGTTCGTGCCCTGGTCTGGGAAGATCCCAGATGCCGTGGAGCGGCTGGGCCCGTGAGCCATGGCCGCTGAGCCTGCGCGTCCGGAGCCTGTGCTCTGCAACGGGAGAGGCCACAGCAGTGAGAGGCCCGCGTACCGCAAAAAAAAAAAAAAAAAAAAAAAAGTAAGGTCTAAAACCTTAAAAAAGTACACTTTTTGTTTGTTTTATTTCCCTGAAGCAATGATTCTTATTTTCTTCTGTTGCAGGTTCCTGGGAGTTAAGCGATGGGGAGGCATTTGGCCTCGCTTCTGCTTTTGCTCCTCCTCCAGCATTTTGGAGACAGTGATGGAAGCCAAGCACTTGAACAAACTCCTGTACAGTTCACACATTTACAGTACAATGTCACAGTGCATGAAAATTCTGCAGCGAAGACCTATGTTGGGCATCCCGTAAAGATGGGTATTTACATTACAAATCCATTGTGGGAGTTAAGGTACAAAATTGTCTCAGGAGACAATGAAAACCTATTCAAAGCTGAAGAGTACATTCTTGGAGACTTTTGCTTTCTGAGAATAAGGACCAAAGGAGGAAATACAGCTATTCTTAATAGAGAAGTGAAAGACCATTACACGTTGATAGTCAAAGCAGTTGAAAAAAATACTAATATGGAAGCACGAACAAAGGTCAGGGTACAAGTGCTGGATACAAATGACTTGAGGCCATTATTCTCACCCACCTCGTACAGTGTTTCTTTACCTGAAAACACAGCCCTGAGGACCAGTATTGCAAGAGTCAGTGCCACGGATGCAGACATAGGCACCAATGGAGAATTTTACTACAGTTTTAAAGACCGAACAGACATGTTTGCTATCCACCCCACCAGTGGCACCATAGTTTTAACTGGTAGACTTGACTACACAGAGACCAAGTTCTACGAGATGGAAATTCTTGCTGTGGACCGTGGCATGAAATTGTACGGGAGCAGTGGTATGAGCAGCATGGCTAAGCTGACAGTTCACGTAGAGCAGGCCAACGAGTGTGCTCCTGTGATAACAGCAGTGACGTTATCACCTTCGGAATTGGAGAAGGACCCAACGTATGCCATCATAACCGTGGATGACTGCGATCAGGGTGCCAATGGGGAAGTCGCTTCTTTAAGCATTGTGGCAGGAGACCTCCTTCAGCAGTTTAGAACAGTGAGGACCTCTCCAGGGAGCAAAGAGTATAAACTCAAAGCAGTCGGTGACATTGATTGGGACAGTCATCCTTTCGGCTACAACCTGACACTACAGGCGAAAGATAAAGGAAGTCCTCCCCAGTTCTCTTCTGTAAAAGTAATTCAGGTGACTTCACCACGGTTCAAAGCTGGGCCAGTCAAGTTTGAAAAGGAGGTTTACAGAGCAGAAATAAGTGAATTTGCTCCTCCCAGCACACCCGTGGTCATGGTGAAAGCCACACCTAGCTATTCTCATTTGAAGTATGTTTTTAAAAGTACACCTGGAAAAGCTAAATTCAGTTTAAATCACAACACTGGTCTCATTTCCATTTTAGAACCAATTAAAAGACAGCAAGCCTCCCATTTTGAACTTGAAGTAACAACAAGTGACAGAAAAGCCTCGACCAGAGTCTTGGTTAAAGTCTTGAGTGCAAATAGCCATCCCCCTGAATTTACCCAGACAGCCTACAAAGCATCTTTTGACGAGAACGTGCCCATTGGTACTACGGTGATGAGTGTGAGTGCTATAGACCCTGATGAGGGTGAGAACGGGTATGTGACTTACAGCATTGCAAATTTGAATCACGTGCCGTTTGTGATTAACCATTTCACCGGTGCTGTGAGTACTTCAGAGAACTTGGACTATGAGCTGATGCCACGGGTTTATACTCTAAGGATTCGGGCATCAGACTGGGGCTTGCCATACCGCCGGGAGGTTGAAATCCTTGCTACCCTCACTCTCAATAACTTGAATGACAACACACCCCTGTTTGAGAAGATAAACTGTGAAGGAACAATTCCCAGGGACCTAGGTGTAGGGGAGCAGATAACCACTGTTTCTGCCATTGACGCGGATGAACTGCAGTTGGTGCGGTATCAGACTGAAGCTGGGAATGAACTGGATTTGTTCAGCTTAAACCCCAGCTCCGGGGTATTGTCATTAAAGCAGTCGCTCATGAATGGTTTAGGAGCAAAGGTGTCATTTCACAGTCTGAGAATTACAGCTACAGATGGAGAGAATTTTGCCACACCATTATATATCAACATAACTGTGGCTGCCCTTCGCAAGCCAGTAAACTTGCACTGCGAGGAGACTGGTGTGGCCAGGATGCTGGCAGAGAAACTCCTGCAGGCCAATAAGTTACACAGTCAGGGAGAGGTTGAGGATGTCTTCTTTGATTCTCACTCTGTCAATGCTCACACACCACAGTTTAGAAGTACTCTTCCAGCTGGTATTGAGGTGAAGGAAAATCATCCTGTGGGTTGCAGCATAATTTTCATGAATGCTACTGACCTGGACACTGGCTTCAACGGAAAACTGGTCTATGCTATTTCTGGAGGAAATGAGGATAGTTGCTTCATTATTGACATGGAAACAGGAATGCTCAAAATTTTATCTCCGCTTGACCGTGAAACAACAGACAGATATACCCTGAATGTTACGGTGTCTGACCTTGGTCTGCCACAGAAGGCTGCTTGGCGTCTTCTGGAGATCAGAGTTCTGGATGCCAATGATAACCCACCTGAGTTTTTACAGGAGAACTATTTCGTTGAAGTGAGTGAAGACAAAGAGATAAATAGTGAAATCATCCAGGTTGAAGCCACAGATAAAGATCTGGGGCCCAATGGACATGTGACATACTCTATTCTTACAGACACAGATAAATTTTCAATTGACAGCACGACTGGAGTGGTTAAAATCGTGAACCCCTTGGATCGTGAAGAACAGCACGTGCATTACGTAAAGATTGAAGCCAGGGATCAAGCCAGAGAAGAACCGCAGCTGCTTTCCATGGTGCTTCTGAAGGTATCATTAGAGGATGTTAATGACAACCCACCCAAGTTTATTCCCCCTAATTACCGTGTGAAAGTTCGAGAGGACCTTCCAGAAGGAACCATAATCATGTGGTTAGAGACCTATGATCCTGATTTAAGTCAGTCTAGTCAGGTGAGATACAGTCTTATGGACCACGGAGAAGGAAACTTTGATGTGGATAAGCTCAGTGGAGCAGTTAGAATCGTACAGCAGTTGGACTTTGAGAAGAAGCAAGTGTATAATCTCACTGTGAGGGCCAAAGACAAAGGGAAGCCCATTTCTCTGTCTTCCACTTGCTACATTGAAGTTGAAGTCATCGATGTGAATGAGAACTTACACCCACCGGTGTTTCCTAGCTTTGTGGAAAAGGGTGTAGTGAAAGAAAATGTCCCTGTCGGTTCATCAGTGATGAAGGTATCAGCTCATGATGAGGACACAGGAAGAGATGGGGAGACCCACTATTCCATTCGAGATGGTTCTGGTGTTGGTGTTTTCAAAATAGATGAAGAAACAGGTAGGCGTGTTTTTATTACTGTGGTTTGCTCTTCCCTTTCATTTTTTTCTAATGAAAAAATGTGCTGGCTCCTTCACAATTCCCCGTTGGCTTCTGGTAGGGCGTAGTGCATGTCCATACTTTTTGTCCTGTTGCACATGTCTTTGTATAGTAAGCCATGAGGATGGAACTAGAGGAACCTGAATGAGTTGGCATAAAATGAGTAGGAAAAAAATCAGAAAAATTGAAATCATTACCACTGATAATATACAGGTTTGTTCTGTATATTATCAGAAGCATCCTTATGGTTTTGCTGTAACTTTGAGAGGCCCTTCCAGAGTTTTTCCAGCTAGTAAGGTTGCAGACTTAGAAGACTACTCCACTACCTAGCATGCTATTCAGACATTCGTGCACACCTGCAAATTAGGCAGTGCACAGAGAGAAGACTGTTCTAAAACTTCATGCTGTGATCTGCTTGACTTAGTACCTTCTTGGGGTTTTGTTTGAAAGGCAGATGTAGGCTGTAGAATGTCAAACTGAGGGGACCTGGCTTTGAATTGTGGCTTTTTCAGGTGTTAATTTGGTGGTCTGGACAAGTTGATTACCTTTTTAAAACTGACTTTCTCCATCTTTAAGATGGGGACACTCAAAATTACTGTAAGATTTATGTGGGCATAAAGTGAAATAACATGTGTTAGAGTCTATTTAATGTCTCTTGGAAATGGTAACAATGCTCTGTTACGATATTCTTTCCCCTAGAATAAGGTCCTAAAAACCAGAACATCCAGGATAGCCAATTTATGCTAGAGTGTGTATTTTTTTTTTTTTACATTTTGTACATATCTCAAATTTAGCTGCCTTTCACAGAGTTTATAGTTATATATCAGTCTCCTTTGATGGGGCGTGAGCTGTGGTATTAGTTTGCTGGGGCAGCTGTAACAAAGGTCTGCCACAGACTGGGTGGCTTAAACAAGAGAAATTTATTTTCTCCCAATTCTGGAGGTTAGAAGTCAAAGATCAAGGCAGAGTAGGTTTCTTCTGAGTCCTCTCTCCTTGGCTTGTAGTTGGCCATCTTCCCCCTGTGACATCACATGATCTTCCCTCTGTGTGTTTGTGTCCTCATCTCTTCTTGTAAGGATACCAGTCATAGGGGACCACTCCCTAATGACCTCATTTTAACTGCTTTATCTCTTTTAAGGCCCTGTCTCCAAGTACGGTCATGTTTTGAGGTACTGGGAATTTAGAACTTCAGCACATGAATCTTGGGGGACACAGTTCAGCCCAGAACCACCTTTAAGGATGGGCTTTTAGCTCATGTATTTTCTGTCCTCAGCACCTAGCAAAAAGTGCCTGGCGCGTAGAAGCTGCTCATTAAATGGTTAAAGACTGAATGAGTAAATTAATGATTATTTTCGCTTTGAATGTTCTGCTTTCTGAGAATGCTAGTGGAAATAGAAGGAAACTGGGTAATCACAGCAGTAATCAGCCATAGGTGGGGTTTAGTTTGTTTATTAATCTCATTGATGTTTCCTTTATGAATATGTGCGTTCTAAAAGGGGTATTTTTCTAATTACATTAAACCTTTAAGTTTTTATTCAGTAATAACCACAAATAAGTTCTTCAGTCAATACTCCCATATCTAATAGGTGTATAGCACATGAAAAATAATTATTGTCCTAGAAATAAGCGATTTTAGAGACTACAATTTTTAATGTGTTTTTGTTTATTCAGGGGGTTCTTTTTCTAGTGAATTATATACCACTAGCATGTGTACAGATCTGCAGATTACATGCTACTCATCTGAAATACCTGTAATGGTCCAATTCAAGAGAAAATAGCATCACCAGCAGCAGTTAGTAATCACCCATCTGAAGAGTAGAATGGATCTTTTTTCTTTTCATACTCTCTGATATGAATTAGTTTTCAGGTACAATGGCAACATAAAAAAATACCCAGGATTTAGTAACTGAAGCTGAAACTATGAAGTGTTTTTGTGAATTTCATAAGGACAATTTTTCCTATTTTTTTCTTTTCCAAGGTGGGCTTTGAAAGCCTGTGAAGAGAACTGTTGGAAGTTAAAGTTCAGACAGAAAATAGAAACAAAATCTTAATTTACATTTCGTTGATGTCTTAAATTATATGAGCACAGCCTTTTGGATTTTTTTCTTTCAAGTGAGAAGAGTATTTTTATTGTTGCTTTTTAAAGACCTATTTAGAAACTAATATTTTTCGTCTGTAAATTTAAGAGACTGGGATATTCTTACTATCAAGGGAGGTGGGGTAACCAACCAACTGAACAAGGCAGTATTTATTCTGAAATATATAATTTATAGTAGTTTTCAAGCTGAACGGCAGTGCCAGACTTTTCCAGTGGTAACTTAGTGAGAGGGCAGGGGATGAGTTGGGATTATGGGCAGTGGGGTAGGAACTGTTATGCATTGGTATAAAGATTGAGATTTAAAGGTGAGAGAAAAATTGGCAATTTCTAGGTGTCATCTATTGCGCAGTCCTTGCTTTACAGAGGAAAATACATAGCATGCAGCACATTTATGTTTGTGTGCTTTTTGAAATTGAATAAAGGTGATGTAATAATATTTATACATTGCAAGATATTTTCTTTTTGGCAGTAGAATTATCAGCCCAAGTTATTTTCCAGAGACCCCTGGCAAGGCACTTGGTATCATAGTATAGAATTCTTTCATGAAAAGTCAGTATGTTTGTGCAGCAGAAATACTAAAATTAGATGTGCTAGTTTTTCATGTGGGGTTTGTCTCACTGATTTTGAAGGCAGGTGGGAAGTGTGGAGAGGTTCCTGTCAGATGAAGAAACGTAGGGACAGTTCAGGGACACCATTGGGCACCCCGTAGGACACAGCAGTAAAACTCCGGTGTGAATTGGAGTTGGCCTGGCCCAGTTTGGGTTCATTAGCACCTTTCAAGAACTTCAGTCTCTGCTCCTTGCCCGTTTCTGCTGAGCCTCCTTTCTCCTCTAGGGATACGTTTCGTATGGGGTTGATGTCTGTGGGCCTGTACAGAGCTGCTGTGGGTGTGGAGCCCACGAACCTGCCCATCTCATGGTCTGTTTGCTTTCTGCCTTTGACTTAACTTTAAATTCTGTAGTGTTGGTTGAATAATATAACCGAGTTTTTGTGGTGTTTTACCTATTTCAACATTGTCACATACGCATATCATTTGTATGCTTCTCATAGAACAGAGGATATATTCAGCTATCTGAATTTAGTTATTATTTTTAAGATCCTCCTTTTTCTTTAAAAAAAAAAAAAGCCTACTTAAATTTGAAAACATCCCCTGACAAGTTGTTTTCTTTGGAAATGGAAATTCTATGGACTACCTAAAATATGTAGTTGGAGGAACAGCCCTGTCAACTGAATTTTGTGCATCTTTTGCTAATTGGCTTTGCAGGGAGGCAACACGTACTTGCAGTATGGGGGTGACAGTCATTTGACTCATCAGATAATCTCTCACTGTGTCATATGCTTTTCCTGGAGAGGCTGCTAGCTGTTAGTTAACTGTTCTGATAAATCCAAGCCCACACGATTGCTTGTCCATTTGAGGTTTGGAAAGGTTGAGTGTTAGGTGAAACACTATTTAGAAAGTCAGTCTTGTTAGAGAGCCAATCTCCAGTGCTCTAATTAAGATTCTTCCCTTTTTGTCTCCTTAAAATCTACAGTGAGGGTTGTAAAGCAGGTTTAACAGAAATGTTAGTGGAATACGTATCTTGGAAGCATGTGTAATTTCACATTTAGGTTTTTATTTTCCTGACTTTATACTTCTCAGCGTTCACCCCATTCTCACTTCCAATACATTCCTGGTTGCCTTGTTGTAGGCTTCAGAGTTGAGCAGCGTAGAATCTTGGGGCTTCCTCCTGGAGATCTGTGGAATAAATTCAGCTTAGTGTTCTTGGCTGATGAGGACCCATCCAAGTTAATTATTACTTGAGCACCAAGTAAAACGTTACGGGTTTTTGCTAATTTTTAAAACTAAGGATAATTTTTAAAACTAGCAAAATGTTGGGCTTCCCTGGTGGCGCAGTGGTTGAGAGTCTGCCTGACGATGCAGGGGACATGGGTTCGTGCCCCGGTCCGGGAAGATCCCACATGCCGCGGAGCCTGTGCTCCGCAACGGGATAGGCCACGACAGTGAGAGGCCCGCGTACCGCAAAAAAAAAAAAAAAAAAACCCAGCAAAATGCTTGGCCAAAAGTTTCTTTTCATTTGTTAATAGGACCTGGTATTGAAGCAGTGTTTATTAGTTGAGCTCTGTTGCACCCATGTCTGTATTGTAATAGGATGTCTTTTAGGTATGTTTTCCCTTCTGCGTGGAGTACTTTGGTTCAGTTTGGCTGTTGTAGTGTAGTGCAGCCAAGCTGGAGTGTTTTCCCCTTGTGACTCTACATATTCGGGGAGACCAAGTATTAAACTAAGATAAAAGCAAATTTCTGAACTTATTAGTGCTGTGTTACTCTTAGACTCCCAATCCTGCTTTCAGGATTGAAATTTACATTTTGATGAAAAGACTTGGAATGAATTAATATGGAAGTACAGCTGTTGCAACAAGATAAATCACTGTTCATGAAATATGGGAGGGAGAATAAGGACTACATTTTTCTTGAGAGAACCTGGCTACATTCTCATTACAGGGGAGCGTTATTGCACCATTCCTGGATCACCCGTTTGGAGACTGGCTCCTGGCATGCCTTACGGGATGCAGGAGGAATGAGTCTGTGTAATGGGAACAGAAGGGAATTCCAGTCCAGACTAACCTTATTGTTGACTTCAGTGAGAGGGAAAATGTTTCTGGGGATTCTGTCTGGTTTGGCAGAACTCTGAGTATTTAATTATTATTTTAGTTATTCACTCAAGTTTAAAAAACCTTTTCCCAAGTAGGATATTCTGCATACAGCCAGGGACCTGTGTTTTTTCCTAGGGCCACTTCTCTCATGACAGAAACTAGAATGTAGAGAAAGGCTCTTAATGGGCTCAAGCATCATGACCCAAAAGTC